TAATGATGGTGGGACTCCCCTCCTCTTGTCTCTATCTCGGATCGTTGGTGGTATAGGTAAATGCCCCTCCAGAGTAGTCACCAGTAAGGCAAAAAAGACTTACATAGTGTAAAAATGATGAAGAATCATTGGATCACAGGATGATGAAGGCATGTGACCAAAGTGACGTAGCGTGTAGATACGCCAGTGGGAGGAGCTTAAGTGACTGGCGACCTGACGTCATATCCGGCGTGGGCGCCATCTTGGTGCTCCTTTTCCTGAATGCAATACACCCTTTCAGTGGTGTGAAGGCTTGTTTGTACTGGAGGAGCATGTGAGTAGGTTTCTGTTCCTTTGTATCATTGACTTAATAAAGTGGTTTTACACTATGTAAGTATTTTTTGCCTTACTGGTGACTACTCTGGAGGGGCATTTACCTATACCACCAACGATCCGAGATAGAGACAAGAGGAGGGGAGTCCCACCATCATTATCTGAAGGACCCATCCAACTCCAGGAGAAAGACCCATTATATAATAAAAGGCTCATTGGTCTTTAGGGGCCTGGGCAGGAAGGTGAGGGGGCACTCCACCTATTTGAGGATTGGCACTTGCAGTTCACATCTGCATGAAACTCTATATTATGCACATGGACACTATTCACTATATTGTGTTTAAAGTCACTATAGTACATGAGACTTTTGTCTGAGTGTGTAACACCACCAGCCTATATTCTATTTTATTTCTTATATGTGCCATGGATGTCTGGGCTATATAATACATGGTGGTGTAAGATAAAATACAAGAGTATATAATTTGATGGTATATTTATATTCACTGTTTGAGCGTTGCACTGTTTTATATATTTAAATAATCTTCAGACTGAGTGTTGGCCTCTTGCAGCCTTCTACATTTTAGAATCCTCCAGAAGGCAGCAGGAGCAGCCAAACCTGCAACCAGTTAAGCCTAAAACAGCCCAAAGCAATCACAAACTGCTCCAATGATTACAGGGAAGCAAAAAAGACTAAATTTACCTAACCTTTCTAGCACCGTATTTAGGAGGGTGCTACACCAATGTACTGATGATGCTGTAATGTATAGTGATTTTGTGGTAAAATGTCATTAAAGGTGAACTAACTCTTTAATAAGTAACTAGCCCTGACCATTGATAAGCTATTGGCATGCAGCATGCATGAGGGCTTATCCAGAATGTTTAGTGTTAAAAAGTGGTTACATCCTCTTAGCACCTGATGGAATATATATATATATATATATATATATATATATATATATATATATTGGCTTTTAAGATGCAGTGTACAGAGGGTTCATCCAGACTTTTTGCTGATACCTAATATACACTTGGTGCTTGTGTTGACGGACCTTGCATTTGCTTAAAATGGGTTTTGCATTCCCATACAAGTGTAGCACTTCCCCTTAGGGGTTGCTGATGAATTTGGGTCCCTCTATATACTTGAACAGCCAGGCAATCTCCACACAAGCTTGAGTTCAGAGTCAGAAATCAGTCCTTGAGCTTATGTTGTGTTGTTTATTGAGGGTATTTAAACTGGGATAGGGTAAGGGGGGTATAAGATGCCCAAGGGAACCGCTAACTGAGGACAAACAAGCTTCTCTTCTGTGACACAGTCTCTGTTGGAGTGCTAGCCAGCATCTCCTAGTTGTTCCACCCCAGACCCTAGATGAAGTCCTCTTTACCCAGCAATCTGGAGACTTTTGCTGAGCAGGGGATCTGGGTACTGTCCATTTAAATGAGGTGAACAGTCACTAGTATGGAGCTAATCTGGTTTCCCAGGGGAGTGCTCCTTCCCCTATCCACCCAGGATGCAGGCGCAGGTGTACTCACTCAGATCCTCTCCTGTATCGCTTGCTGGTTGGCTGCTGTCCCAGGCCTATCAGCTGGGCTGCTCCTTCCCTGCCATACAGGTCCTCTCTCAGGGGGCCAGTGAGACCCAAGTTTTCCATCTTTCTAGCTCCAGGCTCGCAGGCAGGCTCCATTCCACTAGGCCCCCTGGCAGCCTTCTTCCTCCTCCTTACATCTTTCATCAACTTTCTACACCTCTCCCACCACCACACTCCTGCTACTAAGCAGGCTGCTACACTTTTAAGAGAGTCACAGCCCCTTGCCAAGCCTGTTGGGGATTGGCTGAGTTCCCTCAAGAGTGCAACCAACCACTCCTCAGATCCACCCACTGCCTCCAAGGCCCTCCTCAGAAAGCCTCAGAGCAGCGGGAAATTCCAGAGGGGCTGGCCTGCAGAGTCTCTAAGCCCTGACCATAATTTGAGCCCTCTGACTATCACACCTGAGCTGCTAACTAGCTTCTAGCTAACCAATGAAATCTATCTCCCCCTAGCTGAACTAGAAGGGTGCTACACAAGTATTTGAGAAATACAGGTCAGAAGAAGGTAATCTGAAGGTCAAATGCACCTGCCAATGAATTCTGAAAGATCTCAGAGGCATCTCAAACTGATGTCAAATTGATGAAATTGACACAAGCCCAAACCCCTAAACAAGACAGTACTGGAACATGCACCCTCAAAAATAACTTTGCAGTGACAGCCACTATAGTTCTATTATCACAGGTAATTACCATATGTCTGGACAAATAAATGAATAAATTTGCAATGTATTTGATATATCAATCTATAAATTTAAACCTTCCATGTCTTGAAAAAAAATGTAAAAAAATCGCATTGCTTTGCAAAGCATTTTATTCATTATTGATGAGTAAACCAGAAATGTTGGGGTTGTAGTTTTCAGTTGCCCCATATCTTAATTTAATCAAGGAATTCAAGGGTCAGTCCACCCAAAAGTGATATTTTAGTAGAGACTGAAGTCTGGGTTGCTGAGCCTACTCCAAGCATCTTCTGTCTTGGATACTCCAGCAGAAAAATCTCACTTTTAGAACAAATACTGCACTCCATTTATTTATGTTGACCACACATGGGAATATATAAGAAATACGTAAAACAAGCTTCTTCCCACTGAACACATTTGTAACAGGGTCCTTCTGTCTCTGAACACCAATGTAATCAAAGCATTTACACCAAAAATCAATGAGCAAGGGAAATTAAAACTGACCTTCAATTTAACAGGTAATTTATACCAACAATGTAACGGGGGAACATACACTGACTACAAACATAATGGGGACATTTTTACCAACCACCAGTGTAATGAGGAAATTTATACTGACCATCAATGTAAAGCGGAAATGTCAGCAATGGACTCACCATTGGTGGTGCTGTGGCTCACTTGCTCTGTGGGCTGCAGTACCAGCTCCTACCAGAGGGTGCTTTCAGCAGCCAGGGTCTCACTCCTGCAATCAAGCCATCACCTGAGGCTGATTGCAGGAGGTCTATTTAAGCAGGACCAAGCCTGCAATCAGTGCCTTGGTGTTTGTTTCCCATGAGCTCCTGTACCTGGTCCCGTCGTCTGCCTGCCTGGTTTCTCTGCTTGACCCTGATCGAACTCCGGCTATTCCTGACCATTCTTTGGCCTGCACCTGTTGTACCTTGTCTGCCCGATTGTTCCTGACCCGGCCTGCCTGACCACTCCACCTCTCCAGCCCTGACGACACTTGTTCTTATTTATATTAGTTTAAGGTTTGGTTTTGTTTGCACTGCGTTTGTTTATTTTGTTGCGGCTCTTACAAAATTCTAAAATTATTTCATTTCTGAAGCCTGCTGTTCCCTGTGTCAGTCCACACATTTCTGGTCATACCTGGATCCCTAACAGGAAACTTACATTGATCACCAATCTAATTGAGTAATTTACACTACCACTGGGATAATAGGAAATTATACCTGTAATAGAGGTATTTAAAATGATCCTTATTATACTGGAGCATTGGTTGACAATGTAAATGTGTATGTTACTTTGGTGAATAGTGTAAATGCATCTGTCACATTGGTGGATGGTCTAAATGCCTCTGTTAAACACGTCATCAATGTAAATGCTTCCCTCACTTTGGTTTCATTTATTTCATTGGTGGTTTAAATGCCCTTTTATATGGGTAGTCTGTGTAAATACCCCCTTTTTTAAGGGCTTCTTCACGGTATGCCAGTGTGTCAGGGGCCTTTATTGAAGGAAGAGTTTAATTTTCCTATGGGGGGTGGGGGTCTACTGATGGCTTAATATGATCGCATCTCACTTTACAGGGGCTGGTGGAAGCTGAATAAAAGATGTCCTCACATTAGAATGGTGATGGCTGAATAATGTTGTTAAATAATATAAATTGCATTTGCAGCATAATATGGTTTTGATGGATGAAATGATGCGTTATCACAGTCTTTGATCTAGCAGAGCAACATAATGTGCTATTGTAGTTTGTATTCTTGCTGGGTGATAAAATGTGCTGTTGCTAGTTGAAGGAATATTACAATGATATTCACATAATTTGCTTTTGCAGTGAAATGTGATATGGTTATATGACAGTGATGTATTAAGGTCAATTCACTAAGACAGGAAAGTTATTTTAACTATTTGCTATTTCATTTCATGATAATATTGTATTGTGGAAATGTGGTGGAGATATTTTGCATGAAATGAGAACTTTCTAATTATTTTATCCCACAATCCAGTGACAAAAATGTTACTTGTCATTACCATAGTAATTATTGGGGCCCAAATACCATTACTGCACAGAGGCCCCTTGCTGACGTTGTCTGCCACTGACCCGTATTTAATAATTTGGAGGGGTGTCCACATATTTTTGAATATATTGTGTAAACGTTGGTTAAAATCTGCAGCATCTACTGAATACTAACAGACCGTTTTAGGCTGAGTGTATATGGGAGAATAAAGCTGTAGCATGGCCTATCCCGAGGGATACATGCAGCTTCATGTTAATGGTCTCATCTAAGTGTGAAGGAAGGTGTTATATACACATGTTCGTTGCTGTGGATAATACATTTCAGAGGACAGTCGATGTGCTGAACTGCAAGTGAAAATATCTGTATGTAAGTGTTTGCCATGACTCATTAAAGAAAATGGAATCTTACATTTCTGCTAAACTTCTTAAAGATGAAAATATGTTTTCTGTCACTAAGCTGATCCGGTTCCCACGTAAGAACCTAAAATGAAAAATATACTACATGACCAATAACACATAACATTATACAAGTTATATGCTGACAGAAGTTTTACAGCATGCCACTGACCAGGAAACCAATAATGTTTAAAAGGCAACGCCACCCAAAAAAAGATTCTTTAGTTTTGGTTAGAGTTAGCATCTTGATCTTTTTTTGGATCTCCGTTGTCAACTGTCCTAAAAACATAATACAAATTCTCCGCACTTTCAGCCTGCTTGTCAACAGCCTATACATTCTAAATACATTTCTATGTGAGAGCTCTGGAGGTGCAGAGACTGTGGCTACACATATCCCAGTTTCTCAGCCAGGCTCAGAGTATGTCATGGCAGGTTCAGGTTGGTGGAACATCTGTTTGCCAGGCTTCTCGACAATAAAGAATCAGGCCCTGCCCATTCAATTCAAAATGAAGAATAATTTTTTTTTCCTTTTTTTAAGGATCACTATACCTTGAATTACACCTGGATCACATGTAAAAATGCTAATAGCATTCACACCACAATATACAACCTCCTCCCTTATATGTGGATAATTGGCATGTATATAGATTTGCTGTGTAGCCTATTGGAAACATTTGCGCAAACTACTATTAAAGACAAAAGAGGCTGCCTTTCTGTTTTTATTGCATTTCTTAAAGATTGCGGTAATTTATCTGTACATTTGCCCAAAATTCATGACAGCTGGATCTGACTTGAGGCAAAGGTACCTGTTACTGAGGTTAGTAATTAGAAGCCTGCTCACATGGTGGAGCATCCTGTAAGTCCATTAGCTGTTTGTCCCAAATGTCACAGAACAGGCCCTCCACCAGGTGAGAAGATCCATATTGTAATATATGAAGGTAAAATGTACCACAGAGATAACCTTAGAAGCGATTGGAGTCAAAAGAGTCAACACACTGGATTTAGTTTACTAATGGAGTAGTGGTAGTTCATTTAGAAAAGTGTAAGTTCACTTCAAAGTGAATGTTAGTGAATATGAAAAAATCCAGTTGATTGAGTATCCATATGATTGGGTATTCAAAAAGAATGTCACCTTATTCTCTAAAGCTGGCTACACACCAACAGAATTTAGTTAAAAAAACATTTGTTTTCAGAATGTTCTTTCGATTTTCTAATAGCTATTTGGGTCAAATCGACATTCATTTTCACTGAGAAAAGTTGAAGTAGCAGGATGGAAACTTTTTCTCAAACAAAAACATTTCTTACAGTGAATTTGTTTTTTGTTCGAGAAAATGTCATACATATTGTAATGAAACCTCTTTAATGTATCAGGGATTCCATTCAAGTAGCAGGTCTGGATGAAATTTAAAGGGTTTTTGAGCAAAATTATTTGACTTGATTGTAATAAAGAATGCTCTGACAAACGTTTTTCTATGAACGTTCAAACAAAAATATAAATGTGCATGGCTAACTTGACTTTACTAAGAGAACAGCCTCTACTCTCTCAGTTGATCAACCACACTAACAGTTCTTAATTTTTTTGTGGGCTAACACTGCCATTACTCAAAGTTTTGATAAATGTGTCCATGAATGCTTTTAAAAGTTGAAATACAGTAAACGCAAATATAGTTAGCACCTCCAAAACCCCCAAAACAACCTGGACAAGAGATCAGAGCATGTCCTCAAAGTCGCAGTTTGCCAGAGGAGGATCCTTTCATGTCTCTTAATCTCTTCACTCACTGTACAATACAGCGATCCCCTTATTTTCCAATCAGGTTTACACCATGTTACAGAGCAATGCAAAGCAACTTGTCTACACAGTAAAACACACAGCACACAGTTAACCCTTTGATCGCTCCAGATGTTAACCCCTTCCTGACAAGTGTCATTAGTACAGTATCAGTGCTTTTTATTAGCATTGATCACTGTATTAGTGTCACTGGGGATGTCAGCAGCAGTTAGTCAGTTTCCCCCCCAGTGTCATAATGCCAGCCGCAGTTCCGCAATAAGTCGCTGATCGCCGCCGTTGCTAGTAAAATTAAATAAAAATACCGCCATTTGTAGACGCTATAACTTTCATGTAAACCAATTAATTTACACATATTGGGATTTTTTTTAGCAAAGACATGTAGCAGAACAAATTTTGCCCTAAATGTTTGCCGAAATTTGATTTTTTTAAAATTTTTTATTGGACATGTTTAATAGCAAAATGTCAAAAATATTGTTTTTTTTTCTCAAAATTGTCGATCCCAGAACGCGCCCTCCCATGCGCCTCTAGCGGCGCACCCTCGGCGATCTCCGTGATCGCTGTGTCCTACAGACACAGCTGTATACGTGATGTGGTAAAAGGCCAATCACAGCAGCCTTTTTACCACATGATCAGCTGTGTCCAGTGACACAGCAGATCACCAGGTAAATACAGTTGCCGGTTATCAGCTGCACTTTCCTCACGCTGCCACAGGGTGAGGAAAGTACTGCAGATAACAGGCAATTGACAGAGAACAGATCGGCACTGATCATCAGTGTCCTGCAGTGCCGCCCACCAGTGCCATCCACCTATTCTCAGCAGTGCCACCCACCTGTGCCTGGCAGTGCCACACACCTGTGCCCAACAGTGCCACCCACCAGTGCTCAACAGTGCCACCCACTTGTGCCCAACAATGCCACCCACCATTGCCCAGCAGTGCCTCCCATCAGTGCTTCCCAGCTGTGCCGCCCATCAGTGCCCAGCAGTGTCACCAGTCAGTGCCGCCCATCAGTGCTGACCATCAGTGCCGCCTACCAGTGACCATCAGTGCCACCTATCAGTGCCCATCATTGCTGCATATCAGTGCATCATCAGTGCTGCCTCAGCAGTGCCGCTTGTCAGTGCCCGTCAGTGCTGCCTATCCGTCAAACCTCACCAGTGCCCATCAGTGCTGCGTATCAGTGCCAATCAGTGCTGCCTATCAGTGCAGCCTCATCAACGCACATCAGTGAAGGAGAAAAATTATCTGTTTGCAAAATTTTATGATAGAAACAATTACAATTGATAAATAACATTCCAATAAAGGAAATGATCACTGTATACTGTATAAATACAAATAATAGCAAACACCATCTAAATATATAAAATAAGTTATAATGTAATAAAAGTAAGTCACTAGGCCCCATCCTATGCATTCTGTCATTGGATCTGAGCCCCTCAGAAAGTCCTAGGGTATGACCTACTGACATCATTAAGCTTTTTGGAGCATATCCACCAGTGCTCACTATAACACAACCTATTATTTGAACCTGTACTGGTGGAAGGTTATGAGCGCATTGTACTAGGAATATGTGAGCTTCCTTTGCTATATTACACCAGTACTATTTTTTAAATGTTATCCCGCTATTGCAAGTAATCTTTATTCTTTTGAGTATATGATTGAATGATATGATGGAATTGATATGATGGGTGTTCAGGGAAGCAGCACTGAGAGAGCAAGACAAGCAGCACTGAAAGTTATAAACTGGAAGTATTTGAGTAATAATTTTAACACATGGTTTACTGGGGAATGTTTATTTTATTCTGTTCAATGTGTTAAGCTTTAAAAAAAAAAACTTAGGATTTAATACTGCTTTAACCACTTGCCCTCCAGCGGCGATTAAATACCACCAAAAGAAAGCTCTCTTTGTGAGAAAAAAATGATAAAAATTTCTTATAGGTACAATATTTCATGTCCGCGCAATTGTCATTCAAAGTACGACATTGCTGAAAGCTGAAAATTGGAAGGGGTTATAAGTGCCCGTTAGGCAAGTGGTTAAAGTAACACAGCACTGTATCACAAAAAATGGCCTGGTCAGGAAGGGGGGGGGGTAAATCCTCTGGAGGGCAAGTGGTTAAAGCAGTATTAAATCCTAAGTTTTTTTTTTTAAGCTTAACACATTGAACAGAATAAAATAAACATTCCCCAGTAAACCATGTGTTAAAATTATTACTCAAATACTTGCAGTCTATAACTTTCAGTGCTGTTTGTCCTGCTCTCTCAGTGCTGCTTCCCCGAACACCCATCATATCAATTCCATTATATCATTCAATCATATACTCAAAAGAATAAAGATTATTTGCAATAGCGGGATAACATTAAAAAAATAGTACTGGTGTAATAAAGCAAAGGAAGCTCACATATTCCTAGTACAATGCGCTCCATAACCTTCCACCAGTACAGGTTCAAATAATAGGTTGTGTTACAGTGAACACTGGTGGATATGCTCCAAAAAGCTTAATGATGTCAGTAAGTCATACCCTAGGACTTTCTGAGGGGCTCAGATCCAATGACAGAATGCATAGGATGGGGCCTAGTGACTTACTTTTATTACATTATAACTTATTTTATATATTTAGATGGTGTTTGCTATTATTTGTATTTATACAGTATACAGTGATCATTTCCTTTATTGGAATGTTATTTATCAATTGTAATTATTTAAAACAGAACTAAAGGCTAAAAACCTACCTGTCCAATGGTCTTTCAGTGGCATCGTCTGAGGATGCACAGGAGCTAGTCATCCCGGCACTCAGAGACAGGCCTGGCACTGTAAGGGCTCGTTCACACTTGACTGTTTTACCAACTCTTGCCAAATGCCCCTATAGCGTTTGGCAAGCGTTGGTCCGGCGTTTGTGGAGCGTTTTTTAACGCTCGGCAAACGCTGCGCAAAAGCCACATGCGTGGTTCAGCGGCGGTTGCTAGGCATTTGCCGAGCGTTAAAAACGCCCCACAAACATCTATAATAAAGTTTGAATAGTGTTACCGCTCCGCAAATGCCCCACAACCGCGTCACAACTGCACCGCAAACGCCAGCCGGGCGTTTGCAGAGCAGCGCCATGGACTAGAATAGGAGGCTTCAACGCCTCCTGACTCGACCAGAGGCGTTCGTTTTGCCGCGTCGCAACGCTAACATTCCCGTTAGAACAGCACCATGTGCTGCAATGTGCAGAATTGTCCGAGGCATTTGGGAAGCGGTAAAAACGCTTCCCAAACGCCTTTCTGCCACCTGCACACAACGCTAGTGTGAACGTAGCCTAAGATGAGCTGCGTATGCAGCACCAATGAAGACAGCAAGCAGGAAGGTAGTGACATTTTATTGCAGAAGAAACAATGCATGTCTCTTCTGCTATAAAAGCCTGGCTGCTCACAATTTCTCACTTTAAGGGAGCTGCCTTTTTTGATGACATTTGGTATTTTATATTTAGTGTTTGGTGTTAAAACAGTGCAGAGGTTTTGTGTTTTATACATTTAATGATGTATTCATGAACACAGAGTTGCATTAATTTGCATCTTTGACATCTGTCTGGAGTTCAGTTTTAACTTTAAATTTTATTAAAGGCAAATTTTTTTTTCAATTAAAATAACAAACATGTTATACTGACCTGCTCTGTGAAATGGTATTTCACAGAGCGACCCTGAACTTTCTCTTCTTGGGTCCCTTGCCAGCGATCCTGGCTCCTTCTCTTCATTGTGTGTCCCCATAGCAATCCATTTCCTAAGGGACACTGCGTGCTCACTCCCGAACTGTGTGTCTACCAAGCCGGTAGCCGGTACTCCATACACACACAGAGTGGACTTAGCCTCACCCTCACTTCCTCTTCACTGCATTTGATTGACAGCAGCAAGAGCCAGTGGCACCTGATACTGCTCAAGTGGAAGGGCCACACCCTTTTTGCCATTTAAACATCTTCCTTACCTTTTTGGTAAGACCTTACACAAGGTATTACACAAGCCACCCTTGCTTCAACAAGGCTGTTTATGAGTCACAATTTGTTTAAAAGCCGTTAGCTAGTTTCTAGTTTCATTATTAGACAATGATCATGTCAAAAGCTTAAGTTTCTTTTCTTGTTACAATTCCAATCACGAATAGAGACAAGTTGACAAGACACGTTAAAAATAGACTTCCCATCAAGAGTATACCACTACAAGCCATAAATAGTAGCAGAAAGCTTTAAAACATATTCTGCACAACTTGGCCTAATTACCCACCAATTTGTACATAGATAGAGTATATTCTTAGTACCTTAGATCATATGACAAAGTGCCTAGGCATTTAGACACATAACTAGCAGATATGGGATCCAAGAGCAGCAGATTTTACAGCCTAGGGATCAGAGGTTTGCAGCAAAATGGAAAAATAAAACAATACATATGAATAAAAAAAACTTACAGAACAGTGAGCTCATCACAGGTTACAAAACTGGAATTACTCAGTCCTCCGATATTATTTCCTTCAAAATCTCTACCAAAACAAAATCATTAAATTATTTTATAAAATTGGTTAATTAAATATACATGTGCATACACATCATTAAATGTATCAGCTTTTCAGATTCAAAGTTCTGGGACCAAGGCAAAGTTCCGGATTATGCAAACGTTGCAGAGAAACAATGTGCAAATGAACTCAATGGGTGGCTGAACTTTCCTTCATTTCCCTATGTTTGCAATTGTCTTATTAAATCTGGAGTATTGGTTGTAGACAGGAACATTTAGCAACACAATATTTGATATCAATAACTTCTGGCACTATATTTTTATTGATGCTATGTATTTGCCAATGATAGTTATATTGCATGTGTTACTGTGCACATTCATCAATGCTAAAAAACAAGAAACAAACAACAAAATAGACAAGTATTAATCATATGTAATCATATTTTTAGGCTGTGACACAGACCAAGGGAATAGCAGTGGATGATCCATGACTGGCAAACTATCTTGAACAGTGCCAATGAGTTCCAGTTAATCTTTTCTCACATCTGCAGCAAGCTGATGTGGTTTTAAAGTGTACGTAAACCCTAACTTCTCTTATTTGCTCAATTTGGTCTGTTAAATGCACCGTTTGAAAAGTTTTCTGTTCAATATCAAAATCTCAAAAAAAAAAAATTAAAAATTTGAATTTGGCCACATATACCTTTATTGGGGTGATAAATAAACTAAAATGACTTCATCAATGCTTGGGTCAGGAGTTGACCCATAGGCATAGCTGAATGTTATTTCAAGAGGTAAAACTTTATATCAGTTGCACTACATGATTGGTAAAGTGAAGTTTATACAAAACTAGGTAGTAAGTAAGACCTGTCCAAAGTGATTTGTTCTGCTACCCTAATGTTTAATTGTCAAATAACTTACATCCAATCCAATTAATGTGGCATCTGGGCACATAGCTTTTGCGGAAGAGCTTCCAGTGAGTTGTTTATCATTGACCTATATAAAACAAGCAAGTTGTTATTTCAAAAAGCATGAACTATACGGATAGAAAAAACATTGTGAGGAGATGCTTGTCTGCTATGTTCCCCGCAATGTGTCCTACTCCATTCCTTTAACCCTTTTAATGTTGCTCAAATGCTCTAATTTCTTTTGCTGTTCTATGACAGACAATGAACCTTTGACAAAGTAGGGAGACCGATACTACTCTGCTTGAGCTACTTGCCTACCATCATGCAGGAAAAGGGTTTACCTTAGAGCAAGGGTGCTCAACCTGTCGCCCTGGGAGCCCTTTGATGTGGCCCTCCACCTCAAACCAGGAAAGTGCACTTCTATTATATCCTCTGGGTTTGGTGCTCTTTCAGAAAGTGCACTACATCCACAAGATATGATAGAAGTCAGTGGCAAAGCACAGCTAACCTGCAGAAAATCCACAAGTGCAGAGCGCGGGTAAACCGCAGCACATCAGTGTGAAAGCAGACTTATAGGGGGCTCAGGACAGGTAGGGCTCATCTACATTTGTGGCCTGGAGGGTGGTTAAACCCCATAGTTGAGACATGTTTTTACCATACCTCCCCAACCACTAGTGTACTGTCAGGGGTCGCAATGGCGACCCTACTCCATGCTCCTTGAGGCCCATACGGCCTCCCTGTCACACTCTTTTTAAACTTGGACAGGAGGGGCAGCATATACAGGACCTGATCCTCTCCATTTTCCTTCTGCAGCCGCTGGCTTCTCCTCCTCTCCCTCCCGTTGGCATTTAGCGTCTGCAGGAGGAAATTGTTCATTTTGCTATTTAAAATAAAAAATTCAAAATTCAGAACCATTGCATTTTATTGTGGCCCACGACTGGTTACCAATCACTTAAGTGGCCCACTTCAAAAGGTTGAGCACCCCTGCCTTAGAGTGTGGAATCAGGTAATCACTCGACTTCCAGGTGCTGTTTCAAAACAAAGCTGCAATCGCATTACCTTGTCTAAAAAACAGCAGTGGGTTTAGCAGTGCTGCTAAACCGAAGAGCTCAAGGTTCCATTCTGGTCATAACAGCAATATGTAGCCCAGTGAAACCACAGTGTAGAGCCATATGAGCCCTTTCAGTAAACTCTGTACCCCTCCACCCATCAGTTCTTCTGCTAAATATACCTATATGTGGCCACATAGGGCAAAAAAAAAAAAAAATCCAGAGTCTGTACATTTTTTTACTTTGGTCTGGCTGCCCAAAGATCTTTTTTTTCTTTTGTTAAAAAAAAAAAACTAGGCTAAAATATATACACTTGTTTGTACCACTGTCTGTGTACATTTAAAAAAAAAATGGCACATGTGAACAAACTTGCATTCAGTGCCTAACAAGCACATCTTTAAACTTGTTGTAAAGGAGGAAGGTTAAAAAACCTGAATGCAGCCCTTCCCCCCTCCCCCAGTCTCCTTATACTCACTTAAGCCCAAGTGATGTGCACAAGATCCGAGGCTTTCTTAGTTCTCTCACTTGTCATTGGCTTAGTGATAGCAGCTGGAGATATTGGCTCCTGCTGCTGTCAATCACTGTCAATGCGGAGGGAGTGCTGGGGAGGGGCCAAGCCATGCTCTGTGTGTCTCATAGGCACACACATCAGTGTCTCATAGGCACACAGAGGAGGCTCAGGAGCCAGCACTTGCTATGTGGGCACTCGGCTGGGGGAGAGGAGCCAGGAGTGCCAGCAGGGGACCCAAGAAGAGGAGGATCAGGGCTACTCTGTGCAAAACCATTGCATAGAGCAGGTAAAAATAACAGGTTTGTTACTTAAAAAAAAAAACAATAAACCTTTAGAATCCCTTTAAGATTCCTTAATAGAGCTGAGGGAAATATGGGGAGGGTAAAGGAAAAAAAAAAAAGACAACTAAATCATCATAAATACAATTAACATTTTTGTACACTGGGATAGAAAATAACACCAAATGTTAGATTGGTCCTTTTGTTTAACCCTTTCGAGTCTCTGGGTTATTGAAGCCTAGGTGGCCAGGCCAAATTTAGCAGTGTCAGTATGCATCTCTTTACAAAAACCCTATGATTAATTTGAAATGCATTACAAAATATGCTGTGTACATCTGCTTAAAGCTCATACTTGCATATGGATGTAGTCTGTAAAATGAAAAATGTTTCATTTTGAAAATACAGCCATATGGGTGCAAACGCAAGTGCCAGCAATTACATGCATATAACTGCACAGAACACATTCTGTAATTCGTGTTAATGAGCAAAATTATGGTGCAGTTGTGGCAATGAGAACACAACAGCAAAAGACACATTTTACTCTGTACAGCCATACACTGTATTGTACAGCCATGTGAAAAAATCCCTTTAGCCTCCCTGGCGGTATTCCCGAGTCTAGCTCGGGGTAAAGTTTCAGTACCACAAGGGGTAATCCCGAGCTACACTCAGGCCTACCATGCGGCGCTGCTCCACAATTCCTCGATCACTTACCTTGTCCTGCGCTCCCGCGATGTCCCTCCTGCAGTGTCCCCGGCAATGTAATCCGGCGGATGCCGGCATCTGTCATCTGTGTTCCTTCCCCTGTGAGCGTTGGGACGTACGGGGGACGGAACGACGGGAAATTTGAAAATGACAAAAAGTGACATTCACTAAAATCACATAGTAAAACATTACTGTATCAAACCATTTCACATACATTTTGTCCCTAGTGCTTTGTCCTGTGCCCTGCCTGCATTTTTACTGTTCTTTCTGCCTGGAAACTGAGAAACGTCCATGGTGTCCAAAAAGCGTCCCTTTAGGTCAAAAGCGATTTTAGACCAGCTAGAGAACAGCGATAGTAAATCAGAACCACTTGCAGAATTGAGTGATAATGATTTGTGGGGAAATTCGTCATCAGACACTGAAAACAATTTTGCAACTTTGCTCAGTGATGTGCGAACTTGGCGCTATATTTCAAATTTCAGTGCTTTTGGTTTGATTATATTATTGAATTAAATTTATTATTATATTATTAATTTTATTATTATTTATTAAATTATAATTTATGATTTCATGTTTCAAGTTTTATCCTACCTGGGATGTTTACTAGACTCTTGTTCGGACATATTTCAGTGAGTTATTCCTAAAAATTACAGGCCTACAATTAAAAAAAATGCAAAAAAATGTACCGCTTTGAGCACAGAAATATGGACATAATCAGACTGCTAGGGAGGTTAAATTTAATGTATTATTACTTTTAATTTTGTAATCCAACAACTGTGATATTAAAAAGGGGCACATTGCCATCTTCAGACAGAAAAGCCATCTACAGGCTAAAAGCAATTTTTTTCCTAAATGGCTCCTTCAGCCTGCATGAGATCACATAGCAAAGTAGTTCTCAATCTTCCGGAACCGAGCTGTCAGTAAAAGCCAGGTTTGACAGCTAGCAGCATTGCACAGGGTAGGCTGCTAGCTGTCAAAGTGTGAAGGGGCATTAGCATTCCTTCAAAGCGCATTGGAGAAGCTGCAATACAGGGAGATGTTGTCATTAGCAAGGTATAAAGGTGTTTTTCACACACATATGGTTTATACTCTATTTACATAAATGTACTGAGTGTTTTACTCTAAAAAAGATCCACTGATATCTGATGTGGAATTTGGACATACACTTTCACAATATTATTTATGTATTATAGGTACTTATATAGCGGTGTCAATTTACGCAGCGCTTTACATATATATTGTATCGTTCACATAGGTCCCTAACCCTCAAGGGGTGTACAATTGAAGATCCTTAGCTTACATTCATACATACTAGGGCCAATTTAGACAGGAGCCAATTCACCTACCAGCGTGTCTTTGGGGTATGGGGGGGAAACTGGAGTATCCGGAGGAAACCCATACAGGCACAGGGAGAACATTCAAACTGCAGGCAGGTGGTACCGTAGTTGGGATTTAAACCATTGACCTTAGCACAGCCAGTTCGAAGTGCTAACCATTTAGCTACTGTAAGACAATAATAAAATTCCTCCTGCGCTTAGGTGGACCTGTGAATAAAGCTTCTAACACCTTACCATATACCAAAATGGTCAATCCAAAGTGTAAAAATGTGGTGCTGCGCTATTAAATGCACTATATAATGATCACAATGTGAATAAAAAAGTGAACAATATGAATAAAATAGTGAACAATACACCCCCCTATAAATCAATAACTAAGTATCTGTGCGACTGAATAAACAGCATAAGTGAAATAAATAAACCCCAAAATTAACAAAAGAAACAACAACAGCATTACCTCCCCTAATTGGGCTAGAATAAGACACACAGAGAAAATAAATGGAAAAATAGAAATTAATATATATACATACACACAATATGTGCCATGATAATGAATACAACACCTTATAAAAAACACCAGTAAATAGATGCAATAGAGTGACATAAACGCATGTATAACCTACATGTCCAAGACCAACTGGTGTATAGGGAAATAACAGTGATCCCAATGAGGGATATGAAACAAAGTGAATCCGTGAAACCACAAATTGTGGTAAATGTGAAAAAAAGAGAAGAGGAATCAGGCTAATCGCCTGTGAACAACTAACAATCACTAAATAAACAAATATGTGACCCCCCCTACCGGGGATAACTGAACAGAAAAAATAGGCTATAGTGCCTATAAATAATGAGGTTATACGTGACCCCAAATGGGGGTTCTAAATAAACATAAAATTATGTGACGCCAAACAGTGCCTCACACTATCCATATAACCACATTCATAAATCTTCAGTGGATAAACGTGATGAAGTCAGTTAATAGCGCAGCACCACATTTTTACACCGTTTAGCTACTGTGCTGCCCTCAATACATGTGTTCTCACTGCAGTGTGACCTGCAATATTACTCTTGTTGGCAGACACATTGGGGATTATTTACTAAATCTGCATGGTGCAAAATCTGGTGCAGCTCTGCATAGAAACCAACCAGCTTCCATGTTTTTTATCAAAGTTTATTTGAATAAGCTGAAATTAGAAGCTGATTAGCTACCATGCACAGCTGCACCAGATTCTGAGTGCACCAGTTTTACTAAATCTTCCCTATTATCTTTATAAATACCAGGAAATGTGTTTATTATATGCAACATAAAAAATTCTTATGCATTTCTAGAAAGTCAACCAAGTGTCATTTGAGAACCCCCTTTGGTAAAAGGACCCTATTGGCAAGTGCTTGGCATTATTGTAGGCCCATTTAGAGCTACTTCCATGACTTTTGGTGACTAACTGCTACGAAATGCCCAACCTGCATGTGTGTGGTCAACTAAGATTCAAGCATAAAAATACTATTGTTTTTGTTGATTGACTTTGGACTTGTCTGTCTTAAATAAAGCACCAATTAAGCGGGAACACAGTACAACAGCATTTCTCCTACCGTATTTCATGGAACTAAATAGACATGGATATGTATACATATATATGGATACTGAATATGCACTCCTATAACATAAACACATAATTATTAGAGAACATTATATATATAGCTGTCAAGCATTTTGGTTTACTCACAAGAAAAACAATGACTCTAACCCAGTGAAGAGCTCCTGGCTAACTTTTACAATGGGGTTTTCATCTAGGATTCTGAAAATACAATACAATAATTAAGTAGCATATTGACACATATGGCACCAGTAAATAGAATTAAATTCAATTGTTGCAACTGCAATAAGATAACGATGATTCACTTATCAAAGTGCTAAATAGGAACTGTTCTTATTATACACAAACTGATAAATACAAATCATACAGAAACTCAGGAATACAAGATAGGTGCAAAAAAAGGGATCAGCATTCTGTCCATGCACATGGGTGACCACATAGCATGGATGTTGCCTTTTTAAATGTAATTTTATTTACAAAAGAATTAGTGTGTCCCTGAATACTACTGTCTGTCAGTCTTTTCTATTGTAGGAAGCTACACATCACATCCTGTTCCAGTAGGCTGGGAGCATGTATTGTTCTTTAGAAGGACACTGCCACAGTCATTGGACACTATAGAAAAAAAACAGGAAAGCCCTGAATTGGGGAAAGGTAAGTAGCCATTAAATATTTTAGCTTCCTAGATTACAGGGGTTAAGGGGAATAAAATCAATAGATTCCAGGATATGATAGGGGCAATACATAAGCTAGCCCAGTAGAAAGAAGGCACTAGGGAATTAATTCAATTATTGCATAACTAGACAATAAAAAACATATAGCCTTTTACACAGCCAGAGCAGGAAGTTTTGAGCACACGGAGAACCACATACTATACACATACCATGTATTTATGATATTATTGATTAACTTGTTTGAATCTCTATGTGAAGTCCAGAAGGCCATATGAGAATTGTTGTAATACAGTGGTCATGTATTTTGTGCAACAACCACATCAGTATTCAATAGAGATATATTCTTCAACCAGTAGATGGCAGTGTTTATACATTTGTAGGTGCATCTATGATATACTGTATGTCTTTTCTTTAACTAAACTTTCTTGTTTCCTTGCTGTAGTGAAGCAGAAAAGCACATGTGGACTGTGTACTGTCTGTTCTGCAAGGCTATATACAGAATTTGTAACAAGAATTTTCACACAGTTTTTAAAGTGTTACTAAACTGAGGACCCTGCATTCACTATATCTGGTCTCCCACAGTACACAGAACATGGAAATGCAATTATTTTAGTAAATATAAACTGCTTAATACCTTTTATCATCAGAAGTTAGAGCAGGTCTTGTTACTTTTATCAGTGCCCAGCTGAGCACTGGTTAAATCCTGTAGGAGGAGTTTTCATTCTCTCCTATGAGGCTGCAGGACCACTGACCCTCTGTCTGGACAGTGCTAATTGGACCTGTGCTGATCACATGCAACCTCCCAAGAAAAAAAACTCTCTAGCAATACACACCAAACTGTGCATGTGCAGCTTGTCCCCGAACCTCTGTTCTATGAGGAGATATATTGGGGGACAGTGGAAGAAGGGAAGGATCAAAGGAGACAGGATCAAACATCCTTTTTACGCAATGTGGAGGATTAACCCCTTAGGTTCCACAGTGAGTATAACAAGCATGTTCTACTGACTATACAGACTGATTTTACTGTTGTGTGTTTAGTAACACTTTAATATATGGAATGTTGGGAAGGTCATGTGAGAATTCCAACACAGCCCTGCATATATGGAAGGCCCAGACGTTAATACGAGAATGCCAGCACAGTCATTATTATATGGAAAGTCCAGAAGGTCATATGAGAATGCTAACATAGTCCCTATTACACAGACATTTCAGAAGGTCATATAAGAATGCCAACACAGTCTTACTTTAAAATTAGTGGTCCTTTAGAATAGACTGGGACATTCTCACATCAGCATAGTTTTTACTTCTTGGTTGGAATACCCCTGTAGTTAGTGTGGCTTATTGTTGTTATTCGGGCTTTTGTCAGTGGGAATGTGGGAGAACGCACCATTCAACAACACCATATGCAATGGGATAAAGCCAACTGACACAAAACCTATACTGAGAATGTATGTTGGCTGCTCTTACTGACCATCTTCTGAAAATGCTGGTTGCTTGAATGTCTCTGGCTTCAATACCTATAATGCTGACCCAGAGGAAGTATGCAGATTCCTAGTGTTTGACTGATACTGAAGCTATTAGATCAACTTGACAGCCAGGGAAGGTATCTTTAAGATGTACTATAACAGCCTTCTATGGGTTTTATACATTTAGGTCTACCACATGTGTATAGCTACCTGGTAGAGAAGTAGTTACATCTCCCCTGGAACAAGCATGTAGCCTGGCAGCTAGAGAACGATGGCTATGTTTAGAGGACAGGAGCCATTTCTCAGAAAGAGAATTACTTATAAGTAGGCTCGGTAAATCACTGGGTTCATTCATAGAGGAAGTGGAAGCAAAATGTGGTGAACTGCAGTGGCCCGGAACAGCTGGCAATGCTAGGACCAAGGAAGACGACACTAAATCCATGTCAGCAAACTACTACAGTGTTGTTCCAGTTGGACCTTCTTTGTAACCACTCTCTGGAGGCCAGTCTAAATATAATATGTAATATACTATCATCAGCCACAAAGCAAAGCGAGTAAGAATTCCAATTAAATCTCTAAGAAAAGTCTGTATATTTTTGTGGCTGAGCAAGTACATTTATAACAAACCAACAAAAGTATGTTTATTTCATACCTTCCTGTATTAAATTTTAAACAGATGTCTGGTGCTGGTTTTTGATATATGTGTGGAAATTACATGAACAAGCAGAAAAGAAGAGAACTGGAGGTTGTACAATCTATTTTAGCTCTGCGATTTTTACTTATAGTGAACTATAATACCAGTAGAAATTGTTTTTGAAGGTGGATGCTCCAGAGCTCTCATCCTTATTTTTGCATCAATGAACCAACAAGCATGCAGCCAGTGAAGACAGCATCTAAGGTCTGCATGCTTGTCTGAGGACACTAATTCATTAGGATTGTATTCATGCCTGAGCTGAAGTACATACAGTACATATTGTTTTTGAATATTTTTTTCTGTGTATGTTTCACATATTTTTTTCAGGCACATGCAGACAAGCATTTTTGTTTTAGCGAATGTAGCTAGTTACTAGGAGTGGGAGATGGTTGTTTAGGATTGAAAAATGCTAATTTTCAGGCATTTTTCAGGCACTCCCATTAAATTCTATATGCCAAAACACCATATTCTGCTTCAAAAGTTGCTCGTGTACCTTTTTAACCTCTTCAGTCCGGTGCCTCCCGGCCCTTTAAGGGGTTTCAGATGCCGGGAGGCGGGACGGGTTTTAGGGTCATGATCGCTGTGATTCGCTGTCATGGTGGTCACATGATCGGAAACGGTCCCGATCGCAAGGGGAGAACGGGACTAAAGGGGCAAATGGAACAGCCATTTTAGGTATAAATAAAAGACATTGTTAATATGAAATACATTGGCAATGAAGCAGATGGCCTAATATCATGTATTTCCTCTTTCTGTATGAGAAAACCAGTTCCACATCAATCTCAGACCAGTTGCCCTCCCCTTCAGTTGAAAGATTGTTTCAACAGCCTTTGAAGACCTGTTAACCCAAAGAGCGAGTGGAAGTAACAAGTACATGTGGACAACTACTCGCACCTCAATGAGTTTCACCAAAGACACAGATGGCACTTCAAAGAAAGATTAGATAGCTAGGTACCACCCACTCTAGAGCATATAAATTGCATTAGAAGGCCCTAGTGAGTCAGAGCAGACATTTTTTTAAAACTATACTCTGTATTGCTTGCTGCTCTACTGCGTGCGTTTATAATAAATATCTTAATTTTTTTAAATTTGGCTTCAGTAGTCAAAGATACTGAAACCCCTTATGTTTTGGGGTTTATCCAACAGGACCTTTCCGTGAGACAGCGACATATGTGCTGGGAGCATGTAGGCTGCGCGCTCTCAACACGTATGTGTTTTCAAATGGTACCCAAATATGTGGCCGCTCGGCGTCAAGGCCCAGCCACCGAGAGGCAACATATTTGCATACGGTCGGCATCAAGGGGTTAAGCTTCAAGTATTGAGCTACAAGTGTCTGAGTGCTCATATGTGAACAAGCACAATTTTGAAGCATGGGATTATGGCTGGTGATCATTTTTGGAGCTTTGATGCTTCAAAATGTTCAGGTGTGTATCAGGGCTAAAGTTTTTGGAAACACACCACTTTTGTTTTGGATAGTATGTAAAAGGGTTAGAACTCCTGCCAGGAGTATATTGCTGTATGTCTTCCCATTGGGGTGATCCAGCCTCACTATTTTTGTTCTATGACCATTGTCTCTGGTACAGAAGGTGATGGGAAATCCAAAAATACTGTGTTACAGGAAGGGGTAGGGGAAAATCTTCCAACTGGGAAACCTGTTCCGATGCCAATTTACTGTAATGTGCAATAATAAATATCACCACTATCATCTAATCAAATATGTAGGGACAAGTGAAATTGTGCTTTTGGAAATGTCTTTTTTAAAGTAAATATAACAGGATTTCTCAGGATCCTTATCCTCCTGTACTTTACTCACTGCCTCTCTCGGGAGTATTCACAAAGCTTGAGATTGAGTAAAGGCAGTGCTTTGTAAGAAATATAGCATCCTGTAAAATGTTCTTTAACAAAATGTTGGGAATGCTATGTTTCTTATAAGCACATCTGTTCTGATTATGTTATTATTGAAGGACAGATCCTCTCACTTGGCTTTCAATCAGAAACAATTCAACACAAGCACGTACAGGGCAAGCTCAAGTTCTAACCAAAAGAATCGGCAATAAAGTTAACTGAGATATTTGCAATACAAAAGTTGATTTGAAGAGATTTTTTTCACTAGAAGTTAAAGTTTTCTTTGGATACTATAACATTTTATTAATGAAGATTCAATACAGGATCAACCAATGACAAAGGTTTTTCAGAGCAGGAGCTGCTTCCTTGGGGACTATCTGAACCAGACTGTTCAGCTATGCGTGACTCATTCAGCTGTGTATGAAGTTAGATATTCAGCTATTCACTTCTGCTAACAACAGGTTTATTGCAAGCAAAGCAATTTAAGATGAATTCCAAGTATTGATATTTCTACATTGTTACATTGGATCAGCTTGGACCAATGTTATTATGCATATACCATATCTGTGGGGTCCCCCTGGAACCTGGAAATCACTGAAGTAGGCTACTGCTAACTGCTACTACAGTGATCTCCATTAACTTCTAGGTCCCGTGCTGAGTGGCTGTCCTGTTGCATTTCCAACACAGGTAGTTGCCTGCTTCTATGGATGCCTCTCACAGAATGCTTTACATTTTACAATGAATCCAAAGCGTTCTCTGATTGCAAGAGGTGGAGAGATGGGGAGGTGATGTCCTGATCTCCATCTCATCTAATCAGATAACACTTTGCATTCAGTGAGAAAATTCAAAGGCTTCTCTGAAGGGCATGAACAAGCAACCTCCTGTGTTCAGAAAGCCTACTACAGTGATTTCAAGCTGAAACAAGGATCCCACTGATATGGCACATATATACTCACATTGGTCCAAGCTGGATCAAACTAACTAGGTGAAAATATGCATACCTGAAATTCAGTGTTAACGGCAGCCTAGTAAATGCATGAAAGGAGTTTAGCCTTCTTCCATAGCTGCTTACCTCTGCATGCTAATCCACATCTCACTTTCACCCCTCTTCTTTCCTATTACCTCCCTGCACATTGTAGGTGCTTCCACCTTGCTCACTTGCAGGGAGATCCCCACATGGAAGAAAAATATATTTGAAATATATCCTAAAAATATTCTTCCCAAATATATTGACATATATTTGAAATACTACAATTTTGGCCATACTCAATATATTTAAAAAAAAATAAAAAAATTATATATATATATATATATATATATATATATACACACACATACATATACATACATACTGCATGTTGAAATGCGTTTTTATTACAAAATATACAAAAAATATTTTTTAAATATACATTCAAATATACTGTATGTCTTTAAAAATACAAATCTACATTTTTGGAATGCAGTTACAAATATATGTTAAAATTACTTTTTTATATGTTACAAAAAATCTGAAGAATATATTTAAAAAATATATATTTTTTTAAAAATATATATTTTTTAAATATATTCTTGAGGGGTAGCTCAGCATTTTTGTTTTATGGACTATGTGTGTCTACCTAAATATTGTTCACATTGATTTTCAAAGACTCTTATTTGGTGTACTTTTAATAAATATCCTGCTTGTATTTTTATGTTGAATATATTTTTATTATTATCAAAGATTTCCAAGATAATATGAAAAATAGTTCACAAAAAGAATTGTGAATACAATATGACAATAGCTGCAAAAATATGTTAAATTGACAACTCCAATATTACAAAGTACAAGATGAAACGTGGATATTTGTGTATAGCCACCTCATGAAGGATACAGGAGTGGTAGGTGGCATCTAATATTGACAAAGAACAATAGAAAGGTTGTTCAGTAAAGAAGAGGAAAGTAAGAAAAGCACAGGAAAAATAAGAAAGAAAAAGAAATAACAGAACTGGAAAAGTGTCAGGTGTCCTACTGTCAAAAATTACCCTTTGACTGGTTATGGTAGAACAAAAGATATAGTCTATGGATGAAGCCTGTTATAGTTTCTCAGAAGCAGAATAGTGCAACCAAATGTACCATAAAGAATGGAACTTTTTCCAGGAACCTGTTTCACCAGCCTGCATTTCTCCATCAAAATAGTGTCATTTATTATGTTCACCCATTGGGATAAGGGAGGGCTAGTTGTGGATTTCCAGAGTCTGGAGATGAGTTGACGTGCTGATAAAAGAAAATATCTTAAAAGGCTCGCTTTTTGAGATTTGATTTTGCATGGTGGAATAGATAATAAAGTGATACGGGGAGACGGAGTGAGAGACTCATCATCAGGGGCGGACTGACCATTTGGAAACTTGGGCACTGCCCGAGGGCCCAGGGTCTGTAGGGGGCCCCATGAGATGCCCCTGGTACCTTTTTCATAGGCTTTTTTTTGAGTTTGGGTAAGTACACAGGGGCCCCATGATCCCCTATTGCCCGGGGGCCCCATGAGTTGTCAGTCTGCCCCTGCTCATCATAGATATCAGTATATTTTAGTATAAAATATCACAAATAGACAAAAGTGTGATAACAATGCACTTGTAGTTCTTTTTTTCTATGTGTACAGCAAATACAAAGAGACAGAGAGAAATAGAGAGAAGGATTTTTAAGGTTAATTTTCAGCAAACACTTTTGATCTTACTAGAAATCCTTGTAACTTTATGTAAGCTGAACTGAAATCACAAACAATCTTGCTTTCAAGCCATCCTATGTAAAAACAAATTCCCACACTTCTCATGTGAAGGAGATGAAGAAAGAGAGATGTGTTTGTAGTAAAAAAAAGAAAAAGAAAAAGGCAGCCTAGTGAGTGAGCCTAAACACCGTAAGGTGCAGGACGTGTCTTATTCCCAGGATTATCACGTAAAAATGAAAGAATAAAAGCCTTAAAAAAAACCAACTCATGCAGCCACCATATTTAGTGATAAGCTGCAATATATTACATTTTTGAGAGTTAGAGAAAAAGTATCTATTCAACAATTCTAATTTCTCATTTATGTTAAATAACTACTCTTAATAACTTTTTTTATGGGTTAGAGTTCTTTATACACTATGTTTTTCTGTATATATGTGATAATAAAGGTTATTTGTAAATATATTTACAAATTATTACAGGTACTTAGATAGCACTGTCAATTTATGAAGCATTTTACATATACACTAACTGGCCTGAACCATTAATACAAGGCTGGATGTATCCATGCTTTCATGTTGTTTACACCAAATTCTGACCCTACCATCTGAATGTCGCAGCAACCAGTCTGCCCATTTTCCTCTGACCTCTTACATCAACAAGGCATTTTCATCCACAAAACTGCTGCTCACTAGATATTTTGACTTTTTTGGACCATTCTCTGTAAACCCCCTAGAGATGGTTGTGCATAAAAATCACAGTAGATCAGCAGTTTTTGAAATACGTAGACCAGCCCATCTGACACCAACAACCATGCCACGTTCAAAGTCACTTAAATCCCCTTTCTTCCCCATTCTGATGCTCGGTTTGAACGTCAGCAAATTTGCTGCCATGTGATTGGCTGATTTAGCATTTTGTGTTACCAAGTAATAGAACAGGTGTACCTGATAAAATGGCCAGTGAGTGTATATTGTACATTCACAGCAGTCCCTAACCCTCAAGGAGTGTACAACCTAAGGTCCCTAACTCACATTCATACATACACATATACTAGGGCCAGTTTTAGACTGGATCCAATTACTCTGCCAGCATGTCTTTGGTAGGAAACTGGAGTACCTGGAGGAAACCCACGCAGTCACAGGGAGAACATGCACACTCCATGTAGGTAGTGCCAAGACTGGGATTCAAAACAACGATCAAAGCATTGCCAGGCATAAGCACTAACCACTGCCTGCATGTGAATCTTAAAGTTTCTTTATGAATCTCCAACTAATTAGTTTATAATAAAATAAAGAACAACTTACAGCCATCTTAATTCATGCAAGTGGCTAAAGACTCCTTGCTGTAGGTATCTTATACAATTGTTGCTGAGATATCTGAAAGTAGAAATTTATGATATTAATAAAAACATAAATAGCTATAATCCATTGCAGGCTCTATTAATAAAATATTTAGTTCCTATAAGCATGAATTCATTCAACATCAATGGTGTGTGGAAAATGCAGGCATTGTTTTATTATTCATTTTATTATTGATGCAAATTACTAGTAACATCATTCACTTACAGTTTCTGAAGATGATATAAGCCAAAGAAAGCTTTCTGTGATATATTACTCAAGCAGTTGTGTTGAAGGAATCTGGAAGGAAAAGGTCGAACAGCACTTAATGTTATTACAAAGCCTCGGGTAAAAGAATGCATATATTTATGAAAACATTTTCCCCCATTTTTGCACTTCTATGCCAATTTACAATCCAGCCCCTGGCCAAAACCACAGTGTAACCAGATTTAGATGCTTTGGTCTGTTGTGTTTAAAATACTGAATTCATAAGTTGTAATTCATAGTCACTCAATTACATTGTAATTTAAGTCAGTTAAAAAGTTGGTACAGTTGAATAAAAATCTTTATTTGTACATGTGTACATGTCACCCAGATCCTCATATCCATGTACAGTATATTGTGACATTAGGCTAAACCGCAATAATAAATAAACAAATAAAAACAAAGTAAGTATAATAGCTACAGCATGACTATAAAACATATTGTTTTGTGCAGCCAGTTTGTAGTTTTATCAGTGCCCCCACCCCTTCCCCATTTATTAACTGATTTATTACTGTATATAAAGACCTCATTTCCTGACCATGCATTTTTTTTACTGTATGGTCTCTTCTCCACCTCCCAACACTGATCAGTAATCTAAAAAGCTCATTTACATCCACAAGCTGCTTTCTGGTGCACGATAGTGAGTAGCTACCATTAAAGATACATAGTTACACCAGTTCATGCAGTTCAACCTGTGTGTGTGTGAAAAATAATGGATGTGGTAACAAGAAGTGCCATCATCCCTATTGAAGCATATATGGAAAAGGTCCTCCCAAGCAAATTATTATTAATATTATACAGTATTTATATAGCGCTAATAGTTTTCTCAGCGCTGTACATTATAATGGGAGACAGTACACGAGACAGCACAGTAACAATACAAATACAATACACGAGGGGTTTGAGGGCCCTGCTCCTTGGAGCTTACAATCTAGGAAGGAGGGGATAGTGGTACAGGAGGAAATAGCTGTGGGGGATGGAGTGTTAGGAAGTGTGGAGGAGATCAGCAATTAGGTGAGGGTGGGGTAGGCTTCCCTGAAGAGATGGGTTTTCAGGGTGCGCCTGAAGGTGAGGAGGGTAGGTGACAGTCTGATGGATTGGGGTAGTGAGTTCCAGAGGATGGGGGAAGCTCTGGAGAAGTCCTGGAGATGGGCATGGGAGGAGGAGACCAGGGAACTAGAGAGTAGGAGATCTTGTGAGGAGCGGAGAGTACGTTTTGGGTGGTAAATGGATATCAGGTCGGTGATGTAGTTTGAGGCAGTGTTATGAACAGCTTTGTACGTCAATGTTAGTAATTTGAAATTTATGCGTTGGGCAATTGGAAGCCAGTGGAGGGATTGGCAGAGGGGGGTGGCGGATATGGAGCGGATAGTAAGGTGGATGAGTCTGGCCACAGATTTCAGGATAGACTGAAGCGGGTATAGCCTGTGATGAGGTAGGCCGGTGAGGAGGGAGTTACAGTAGTCGAGTTGTGATATAATAAGGGAGTGAATGAGTTGCTTTGTAGTTTCTGGGGTTAGGAACGGACATATTTTGGAGATGTTGCGGAGGTGGAGTCTACATGAATTTGCCAGCGATTGGACTTGGGGTTGGAAAGACAGATTGGAGTCTAGAATGATACCTAGTACTCTGGCTTGCGGGTGGGGCTGATGGTGGTGTTGTTGGTCGTGATGGAGAAGTTGGGGGGGGGGGGGGGGGGGGCTGGGGGGAAAACTAGGAGCTCGGTTTTGGAAAGGTTTAATTTGAGGAAGTGAAGTGACATCCAGTCTGATATGTCGTTCAAAAGGCTAGTGATTCGGATGGAGACTAAAGGGGTGAGGCAAGGGGTAGAGAGGTAGATTTGCGTGTTATTGGCATAGAGATGGTAGTTGAAGCCGTGGGAGTGTATCAGTTGGCCAAGGGAGGAGGTATAGATGGAGAAGAAAAGGGGCCCGAGGACAGAACCTTGAGGGACCCCAACAGAGAGGGGGAGTGAGGGGGGAGGTGGCAGCGTTATAGGTAACACTGAAGGAGCACTGTGATAGATAGGAAGAGAGCCAGGAGAGAGCGGAGTCTCTGAGGCCAAGAGAGTATAGTTTTTTGAGGAGGATGGGGTGGTCGACCGTGTCGAAAGCCGCGGAGAGGTTGAAGAGTAGGAGCATTAGCTTTGGCAGTTAGCAGGTCGTTGGTGAGTTTGAGTAGGGCGGTTTTCGGTGGAGTGAAGGGGACGGAAGCCAGACTGTAGGGGATCAAGGAGGTTGTTGTCGGTGAGGTGGGAACTCAGGCGATTATAGACTAAGGCTCAAAGAGTTTGGATGTAAATGGCAGCAGGGAGATGGGTCTAAGGTTGTTTAGGTTGGTGGGATCCAGGGAGGGTTTAAGTATGGGAGTGATGTGCGCGTGCTTCAGAGGGGAGGGGAATGCGCCAGTAGAGAGGGAAAGATTAAAGATGTGAGTGAGCAAATGAAGGAGGACCTTGGGAACATTGGCCTCATCTACTTTATCTATTGTTTTAGCCAATTGGCAGTTTCGTCATGTTCTCTGCCCCTATGTGGTGCCATGTAAGTGAAATTTACACACTTGAGATTGTACTCCTGTTTGGCGATATATGAAGATGGGATAATAATTATATATTTATTACAGGTATCATGAGTGTTTAAGCCTCTCTGAGGAAGAGATTATTGTTTGTCTCGAAACGCGTCAAGTACATGCATGAATCGCTCTTTTTTTCTCTCATCTATGCATTTACTGCGATAGCTAAATAATGTATTACCGCCACATTTTGTGTTTACATGTTCTTTTTAACATTTTGTATAAATAAAACATGGTCTGTCAAGTTTTTACCTTCTCTAAAAAGTCATTGGTTTTATCTGTGCCTTTGAAATCCCACAAAAAAGGGTTTTTCCATGTACAGGTGAAAAATCAGAATATCGTGCAAAAGTTAATTTATTTCAGTAATGTAACTTAAAAGGTAAAACTAATATATGAGATAGACTCCTTACATGCAAAGCAAGATAGTTCAAGCCGTGATTTGTCATAATTGTGATGATTATGGCTTACAGCTCATGAAAACCCCAAATATATCAATATAACAATATCAGAAAATTAGAATATTACATGCAATCAATAAAACAAGGATTGTACATAGAACAATATCGGACCTCTGAAAAGTATAAGCATGCAAATGCAAAGGTTTGGGCCCCTTTTGCAGCAATTACTGCCTCAATGCGGCGTGGCATGGAAGCTATCAGCCTGTGGAACTGCTGAGGTTTTATGGAAGACCAGGATGCTTCAATAGCGGCCTTCAGCTCTTCTGCATTGTTCGGTCTCATGTCTCTCATCTTTCTCTTGGCAATGCCCCATAGATTCTCTATGGAGTTCAGGTCAGGCGAGTTTGCTGGCCAATCAAGCACAGTAATGCCACGGTCATTGAACCAGGTTTTGGTGCTTTTGGCAGTGTGGGCAGGTGCCAAGTCCTGCTGGAAAATGAAGTCAGCATCCCCATAAAGCTCGTCTACGGAAGGAAGCATGAAGTGCTCCATAATCTCCTGGTAGATGGCTGCGTTGACCCTGGACTTAATGAAGCACAGTGGACCAACACCAGCAGATGACAAGGCTCCCCAAATCAACACAGACTGTGGAAACTTCACACTGGACTTCAAGCATCTTGCAGTGTGTGCCTCTCTATTCTTCCTCCATACTCTGGGTCCTTGGTTTCCAAATGAGATGCAAAAGTTGCTCTCATCAGAAAAGAGGACTTTGGACCACTGAGCAACAGACCAGGTCTGTTTTTCTTTAGCCCAGGTAAGACGCTTCTGACTGACGTTTGTTGTTCAGGAGCTGCTTGACAAGAGGAATATGACATTTGAAGCCCATGTCCAGGATCCGTCTGTGTCTGGTGGCTCTTGATGCACTGACTCCAGCCTCAGTCCACTCCTTGTGAAAGTCCCCAACACTTTTGATTGGCCTTTTCCTGACAATCCTCTCCAGGCTGTGGTCATCCCTGCTGCTTGTGCACCTTTTTTCTTCCACACTTTTCCCTTCCACATAACTTTCTATTAATGTGCTTTGATACAGCACTTTGGGAACATCCAACTTCTTTTGCAATTACCTTTTGAAGCTTTCCCTCCTTATGGAGGGTGTCAATGATGGTTTTCTGCACAACTGTCAGGTCAGCAGTCTTTCCCATGATTGTGATTCCTACTGAACCAGACTGAGAGACCATGTAAAGGCTCAGGAACCCTTTGCAGGTGTTATGGCTTAATTAGCTGATTAGAGTGGGAGACTTTGAGCCTAGAATATTGCACCTTTTCACAATATTCTAATTTTCTGAGATTGTGGATTTGGGGTTTTTCATGAGCTGTAAGCCATAATCATCACAATTATGACAAATCACAGCTTGAACTATCTTGCTTTGCATGTAATGAGTCTATCTCATATATTAGTTTCACCTTTTAGGTTGCATTACTGAAATAAATGAACTTTTGCACAATATTCACATTTTTCGAGTTTCACCTGTATAACCTATGTGTGTGGGTGTGTTTTTCATATGAAAAATAATATCCCTGTATACTATGTTTACTAAGAAGCCAATCCAAGAGCTTTTTAAAACTATCAATATTTCCTGCTGAAACCACCGATTGTGGAAGAGAGTTCCACATCCTTACTGCCGTGAGTGAAAAACCCCCCTACACAGTTTAAGGTTCTCACTTCTCCTTCAATGGCCCTGTATCTTCTTATACTCACTGAGACTGAATAGTTTATTCTT